CCCACACACCACCACCACCAACCCACACCACCCTCCACCACCACCACTCCACCTCCACCACCATGCAACCCCACCTCACCTCACCACCCACTACCTCACCACCACCACCTCCACTCCACCACACCTCCACCACCACCCCACCCACCCAGCATCACCATAAATCCCACCACCTCCAACTCCACTCCATCTCACCTCCCACCTCCACCTCCACCACCTGAGCAACCACCCTCACCACCACTCCACCACCACCACCACCACCCACTCACCACCTTCACCACCACCACCTCCACTGCACCATAACCACCACCACCACCTCCACACCACCCAACACAACCTCCACCTCCAACACACAACCTCCACCACCCCACCTTCACCACCACCATCACCTCCACCACCATAACCACCCTCACCACCCACCTCCATCACCACCCCACACTCCACCCACCCCCACATAAATCCCACCACCACCACCCACACTCACACCTTCACCACCACTCCACCCACCACCTTCCACCACCACCACCTCCACCACCACAACCACCACCTCACCACCTCCATCACCTTCCACCACCACACCACATCATCCCACCACTATAAATCCACCACCACCACCTCCCACTTTCACTCACACCTCCAACACAACCTCCACTCCAACACAACCTCCTCCACCACCACCTCACCACCACCATCACCTCCACCTCACTTCATAACCACCACCACCACCCACACCACCACCTCACCACCTCCATCACCACCTCCACCACCACCCACTTCCACCACCACAGCAACCAATCTTTCACACCCACCTCCACCACCACCCACCTCCACCACCACCTCCACCCACCATAACCAATGCACCACCACCTCCCACACCACCTCACCACCACCTCCACATCACCACCTCCACCACCACCACCACTCCACCACACCATAACCACCACCAAGACTCCACACCACTCCAACACAACCTCCACCTCCAACACAACCTCCTCCACCACCACCTCTCACCACCACCACCACCTGCACCACTATAACCACCACCACCACCTCCATCACCACCACACACTCCACCACCATAACCACCCCACCACCACACCACCACCACCCCACCACCACCACACCACCACCCACACCACCACCACCACCCTCCACCACCACAACCACCCACCAACCACCACCATCCTCCAACAACAACACCACCCTCCAACACATCACCACACCCTCTATCACACCACCACCCACCACCACCACCACCAACCTCCACATCACCACCACACCCCACCATCACCACCACCACCTCCACCACCACCACACCACCTCCACCACCATAACCACCACCACCCACCTCCATCACCATCACCCAACATCACCTCCACACCACCACAACCACCACCACCACCACCATCCATCACCACCATACCAACCACCACCATCACCTCCACCACAAACCCACCACCACCACCATCAACACCACCACACCACCACCTCACCACCACACACCAACACAACACTCCACCACCAACACAACCATCCTCCACACACCACCACCCACCACCACCACACCACCCACCAACACCACACCACCACACTCCACACCACCACCACCACCCAACACACACACCTCATCCTCAACATCCAACACAACCTCCCACTCCACCACCACTCACCACACACACCATCACCATCACCACCTCATAACCACCACCACCACCCCACACACCCACCACCACCACCTCACATCATCGCTCACTGCCCTCCATCATCACCTCATTCATCATCGCCTCACCACCTCCATCCATTCCACTACGCTCATTCTCCATCACACGCCTACCCACACATTCTTCCATCACCATCATTCAACATCATCATCACCATCTTCATCATCACCACAGTTCCTCTGTCAGCCACCTTCACCCTCCATCACTACCATATTACATTATCACCACTACACACACACTCATCAGTTCACCACACACACCTCACCACTCCCACATCATTGTTCTCATCATCACCACCATCATCACATCACCTTCTGATCACCACCACCTATCACTATTCACCTCCACTCAACATATTGTTGGAAGAACAGCCACCAATCTCTGCTCATCACCTTTCCCATCACTGCCTGCTAATACACCACCCTCCATTACCACCTCCATCATCACACCCACCTACGATCTCATCATCACCACCGCCATGTTTGACATTAACACTGATTCTCCATCACATCAACACTTCATCATCAATATCTCTTCCATCGTCACCATATCACCACGCCAGCATCACCACGGTCTCTCCATCATCACCACCATCCTCCACGTCACCACCCTCCATCACCGCGTCTCTCCATCATCACCACCATCGTCATCTCCATCACACACCTCCATCATCACCACCACCTCCATCATCACCAACACCATCCTCCATCACCACCACCATCCATCGTCACCATCCTTCCATATCAACACCATCCTCCATCACCACCACCATCATCACCACCATCTTCCATCACCACTACTATCCATCGCCATCATCCTACAGTCCTACACCATCACTACCATTCTCCATCATCACCACCATCCATCGCCACCACCATCCTCCATCAACACCGCCCTACACCATCACCACCATTCTCCATCATCACCACCACCCTCCATCACCACCACCCTCCATCATCACCACCACTCTCCATCATCACCACCACATCCATCATCACCACCACATCCATCACCACCATGACCCTCTATCATCACCACCCTCCCTCCATCATCACCACCGCCCTCCATCACCACCACCCTAACATCACCACCATCATCTTTCATCATCACCACCATCCTCCATCATCACCACCCTCTGTGTTGGTCATACAATATATATTTATACATATATTAGTTCTTGATTTGATAAGTGGCAATGGTGAAGTAAACACTTCGTTGGTTTTGTTTTATTGTAGAAAAATATAGTTTCACAGGTTACTGAGTTCAGTTGAGAGTATATTGTACCTTCTCTGCTGAGGGAAATGTCTTAGTACACTTTTATGGGAGAGCACTAAAGTGAGGTGTTCACTGGATAACAGGTGATATGATAGTCTCTCTCTTTCACCAAGGAGAGGGAGTTGTCAAGCGTTCCTCTCAGGATGTTGTTGTTGAAAAGTGTTGACCCAGCTTGACCTCGCTCGCTCCATGGAGGAAATGTCAACTCACCAATTGATTCATACTCATGAATGAATAACTTGGTGAATACATGGGTAATATATTTTTGGGTAAATATTTATATAATGCAAATTTTGCTGTTACACCGCTCGGTCACCTCCAACCCATGTCCTCATAGATTCAAACCTAGGTGTACCTAACCTTGATACAAAAAGGTGTGCTTAGCTAAACTTTTTCGTCGTTTATATGATTTTGCAATTCCTTCCGAAAAGTTTTCTTAGAAACTATTGTGTACCTAGAAGATATCTTCCTATAACAAATTATCATAACAATCAAGGAACTGATAAATTTGATGGTAGGTATAATAAAACCAGGTAGGATTATACCGGAAGATAAGTATAAAGGAAGAGAATCATGTAACTCAGGAAACTGTGTCTCATTAATATAAGACAGGAGGTTAAGCTTATCAGAAACAATATGGAGATTTCTGAAACTTATATTTAAGGGAAATGGTATGGGAATCAGCACAGAAGTAATATTTGTGACAAATGCAAGATGATGACGAGTAGGCAAGGTTGTTAGCGCATTACTGCTAATTTCACCTTAGTCTGGTGCAATATGATAACCTTCTACCATTAAATTTTCGACTACATCCTGACATATAAGTATCACACTGGTTTGATTCGGGAAAAAGAAATATTTCACCTTATTGACATGTGCGTGAAACACTAACCTATGTGCTATTGGAGTGTATACACATTACTGTAGAGCTGTAGAGGCATTAGTTTGTAACAGAGCTAATTCACATGCAGCGTCCGCGGCCCGAGTGAATGCGAAAGCATACGTCGGACAAACATGCAGATGCAAATATTTTGATTTACAATGATTTAGGACAGTGGTTCTCAACCTGGGGGCCATGGCCCCCAAAGGGAGCCACGGCAAGAATTTAGGGGAGCCACGGCGAGCTGTTATAAATTGTACGTTTCCAAATAATGTTGGGAATCTGAATTAAACAAAACGTGTATTACTTATTTTGACTTGGCAGAAGAGAATTTTCATTCTTTTTTTGTCATTTTGTTTAATCATAACAACAATACAATTTTAATATTTACATACTCTGATACAATTTTTTTTTTTTTTTTACGGATTATTTAAGATTTCACAGGTCCCTGTCTGTGTGACAGGCGCTGGACCGAGCTGCTCAACTGACTTGTTCAGTACGTGTTCGTGTGTCATCCCTTTGCAAATGGTGATAGGACCGAATGATCTCAGACTGGCCTGGAATACCATCACGAAAACAGTGGAGTGTATTGTCTCTGAACCATATATTGTGTTTGAGCTTGACTCAACCGTAATATACTCCATAATTGGTGTTACTTATTTTGTTTCATAATTCATGCGTTCGCTGCTTTACGTGGGTGAAATATTTGTACACTTCCTTTATTAATTATTTCCTTATTTATTGGTGCCATTGTTGTTCATACTCATCCTTTACTTATATGATCCTACCATTTTTAGTGCTAAATTGGTGTGACTCACTATTCTTCTCATTCTTCCAAGTTGGGCAGTGCTTGTCAAAGGAGGCGTGTTCTCGCTTACAGGAAGTACACTTCAGCTTGCTAGCTTGAGTGTGAATGTTTACCTATATGCATGTTTGTGTATAACTGTATGTGTGCTTTATGTGTGAGTGCATGGGCGTGTTATGTATGTGAATGTGTGTGTGTGTGTGTGTTTTCCATTCTAACTCTTGTCCTATTTATCTGTCCTTCTTTATCATTCTTTAGTCTTTATCGCTTGTCTGTTTGTCTCTTCTGACATTCTGTCTTCTTTATTTCCTCTAGATTTGTGATGGCTACTAGTGTTGCTAAGAAGCGGAAGTACATCGATGGATACATTAACTACGGATTTACATCAATCCTCGCTGATGGCATTGAGAAACCTCAGTGTGTGCTGTGCTTCAAAGTGCTGGGGAACGATTCTATGAGGCCACAGTATGCGGAGAGAGACACCGATTTCTACAGGCGCCATGAACGGAGTTTGGGAAAACAGAAACTGGACGAGAGTGGTGCTTTCCAACAACAGACCGTAAGTATAGTTGAGGCATCATACGAGGTTTCCCTCGAAATAGCAAAGCGAAAGAAGCCCCATACAATTGGTGAAACTTTAATTAAGCCATGTGCTGCAAAAATGGTCAAACGGTTCTTGGAGAGGCAAGTGAACGTAAAATTCAACAAATTTCCTTGTCAAACGATACAGTGAAACGGAGAATTAATGAAATGTCAGATGACATAAAGGAAAAAGTGATACAGGAGATCAAATTATCTCCAACTGGTATGTTTGCAATACAGCTGGATGACTCAACGGACGTGAGTTCTTGTGCACAGCTACTCGTGTTTGTTAGGTATGTTTTCTTGTGTGACATCAAGGAGGAATATCTGTTCTGTACACAGCTTGAGACCACCACAAACACTGTAGATGTGATGGAAAAGCTGTCTTCTTTCTTCACAGCTAACAGGATCAGCTGGGAAAATTGCTGTGGAGTCTGTATGGATGTGGCTCCGGCGATGCTGGGATCAAAATTCGGTTTCCAGAAGCGTATCAAGGAAGTAGCTCTGAATGCCAAGGGGATCCTTTGTATGATCTATCGTTTTGCACTGGCGTCGAAAACTCTCCCTGATGAACTTTGCAAGATCCTGGAGGCAGTGGTCAAGTGTGTCAACTTTGTGAAAGCTGGGGATCTGAACTCTCGCTTTTTCCAGAACCTTTGTAGAGACATGGATTCAGAGCATGAAGCCCTCCTCCTTTACTCCAAAGTGCGCTGGCTTTCCAAGGGCAATGTTGTGAATCGAGTGTTTGAACTTCGGGGAGAGCTTAAGTTGTTCCTGGAAGTGCAAGGGAAAGATGATCTATTAAGTCACTTCAATGAGGTGTTGTGGGAGCCACGTCTTGCATATTTAGCAGATATATTTGAGCAGCAAAACAGGCTGAATCTCAAGCTGCAGGGCAATGACAGAAATGTGTTTCACCTCATGGATTGTCTTAGTGCATTTCTTGCCAAGCTCCAGAATTGGCAAAGGAAAGTCAATGCAGGAAATGTTGCCATGTTTGAGAATCTTTCAACTGTTCTTGATGAGAATGAAGATCATCTGCTTGACCCATCACTCAAACCTGAAATCACTCAGCACCCGAAATCCTTGGAAAATGAGCTCAAAAAGTATTTCCCAGAATTCGAGGAGGAAGATGGGAAATTGGTGAGGAATCCTTTCTCTGGCACTCTTGATATTGCTACCATTCCCAATGATGTTCAAGACGAATTTCTTGATCTCAAGAATGATTCTGCTGCCAAAGATCTCTATGAAGAAAGATCTGACTGTATTCTGGTGCTCAATGTATCAGTCATATCCAAAAGTTGGCGAGATTGCACTTCGAGTCCTCTTGCCTTTTTCAACTACCTATTTATGCGAATCTGGTTTCTCCACCCTTCTACATATAAAGAGTAAAAGCAGGAACCGACTGGATGTGGACCCGGACATGAGATGTGCATTGTCAGTGATACAACCTCGGATCCTCATGGAGGATGGTGGTGGTGATGATGGGGGTGGTGATGATGGAGGGTGGTGGTGGTGGTGATGATGATGGAGGGTACTGGTGATGATGGAGGATGGTGGTGATGATGGAGGGTGGTGATGACGGCGGATGGTGGTGATGATGGAGGGTGGTGGTGGTGATGGAGGATGGTGGTGATGATGGAGGGTGGTGATGATGGAGGTGGTGATGGAGGGTGGTGATGATGATCGAGGGTGGTGATGATGGAGGATGGTTGTGATGAAGGATGGTGGTGATGATGTTAGGGTGGTGGTGATGGAGGGTGGTGGTGGTGGTGATGTAGTATTGTGGTGATGGAGGATGGTGGTGATGATGGAGGATGGTGGTGATGGATGGTGATGATGATGGAGGATGGTGGTGATGATGGAGGGCAGTGGTGATGATGTAGGATGGTGGCGATGGGTGGTGGGGGTGATGGAGGGTGGTGTGTGGTGATGGAGGATGGTAGTGGTGATGGAGGGTGGTGGTGATGGAGGTTAATGGTGATGATGGAGGTTAATGGTGATGGAGGGTGGTGGACATGATGGAGGATGGTGGTGTCGTGATCCCAATATCCTTTATACCTGGGGAGTGAAACCTACCCCAAATTATCATCATATACAGGAACAAACAGTTGGAGTAAGTGAGTCACAAATGGGAAGATAATTAAATAATTCAATTTATGTTCTTAAAGGAGTACTGTCTAGCAACCATGGAATTTAAGGCAATAAGTGATTGTATATTAAAATAAGAATGATGCCGGAAGGGTGAAAATATACGGTTAAGGAGTTAGATTAAATTAATACAACTCAACATTAACTATATTAAACACACATTACAATATATACACAGCAATCACAACCAACTAGTTATTTCCTACCAAATAGGAGATTCCTTAACACCAGGATCCCTTCCTAGGCCTAACTTAACGTGCCACTCATTACCAGACACCACTAGGGTATTGTAGATGATTGAACAAGGCACATCTGTACTGGGCAAGTGTCGAGGCTAGAGTCGGTGTGGACACGTCCTGCCTATACGACGGTTTTCTAAAGAGAGTGTCTCTGGCCACACAGCATATAAGTGAGGAGCGTCTTAGCTCACGTGACCCAGGACAGTTGCCAAATAGTCTAAACTAATTAATACTACTCTTGATTTGACTTAACTGAGTAACACAAATGATGCATATTAATGACATACATAGATATACAATTAACCTAAGTAACTAAGAACAACAATAAGATAATAGTAAAAATAACAAGTTATTAATAGTTTGTGTGGAGTGGAGGCGTAAACAGATACCACACGACATGCGTGTTCCTAAGAGTTACAGGCACATGACACCTCCCCCCAAAAAGTGAGCTTACAACAAACTGGAAGCGAAAATGGATATACAGCTACAAAGTGAAAGTAATAACTAACACAATCAGTTTAAATCAATATGAAGTAAAATAATTCATAATATATACACAAGGTACTCAATGACAGAATAAAACAAAGAAATAATTTACATACAGACATAGTTTCTAGATAATGAGACTCGAGAAAGTGCATCAGCCAACACGTTCTAAATCCGCGGATATGGGAAATGTTCAAGTTATAGGGCTGAAGTGATAGAGCCCACCTCAAAAGTCTTTGGTTGGTATGTTTCATCCTGTCAACAAAAGTAAGTGGGTTACGATCAGTGAACACTTGAACAGGATAAGCAGTGCTGCCAACATATACTTTGAAATTTTCTAGTGCCATGATCAGTGATAAAGCTTCCTTTTCAATGGTGGCATAGTTTTTTGATAATTGTTAAATGTTCTAGAAAAATAACAGTGGATGAAGCACTTGATCACTCTCACCCTCTTGCAGAAGCACAGCACCGGATTGGCGTCGACATGGAGAGTGAACTGTTTCTGGAGGTCAGGGGCAAGTAGTACAGGAGCATTTGCCTGCAGGGATTTTAGATTCTCAAAAGATTCCTGGCAAGCCGTAGTCCACTTGAAGGTTTTCTTGCCACTCAGCAGGTCAGTCATGGGAGAGAACGGAGGAGAAGTTTGGGCAAAAACGGCGGTAGTACCCTGCCATACCCAGCAACCTCATCACACTCTTCTTATCGCCTGGCACTGGATACTGTTGAATTGCCTTAATTTTGGCTGCTATATGTTGGGCTTCCCCTTGTCCGACCACGTGCCCCAAGAAAGTGACGTGGGCATGGCCGAACTCACTTTTGACGAGGTTCACCGTCAGCTTGCTTGCAGCCAGTACGGAGAAGAGGGCTTGTAGACGACTCAAGTGATCTTCCCAGGAACTGATGAAGATGATGAGGTCGTCTAGGTAACAGCGGACACCTTCCAGACCAGACGTGATGTAATTCATGAGGCGTTGAGAGGTTGCAGGGGCGTTCAGCATACCAAACGGAAGGACTGTGAATTGGTACAACCCCTCAGGATTGACAAAAGCAGAGATGGCCCTGGAGCGTTCAGTCAGTCTTATCTGGTAGTAGCCCTGGAGGAGACCCAACTTGGTCACGTACCTTGCCTGTCCAAGATCATCGATCACGTCGTCGATGCGTGGCAAGGGATAACCGTCTGGTTCAGTGACAGCATTCACCTTGCGATAATCCACACACAGCTGCATCGACCCATTCGGCTTTGGAACTAGAACAACAGGGGATGCCCATGGACTGATGCTGGGTTCGACGAGGCCTAGCTCTTGAAGACGCTGTACCTCGGCTCGCACACACTCCCGCTTGAAGGCATTAAGACGGTAGGGACGCTGTCGGATTGGCTTGGCTCCCCTGGTCTCAACGTCATGCTCCAGCACTGAACAAGAGAGTGGGTAATCACCACCTATAATAAGATACTCCTGTAAAAGAGACTTTATATTAATGGCTTGGTCACTAGAGAGATGGCACAACTTAGCACTGGGGTCCTCCAAGATAGTCGAGTTTTCCACTTTTACACTAGACCCATTCATTATTTCAGAAAAACACTGATCTTTATCATCCTTACACTCTGGCACAATGATACAAGTTGGCAAGGATTGATCAACACAAGCAACTGCTTTTCCCAGGGTTTCGTCACGAACATGATACGACTTTAAAAGATTGACATGGATAAGGCGTTTTTTCTTACGCCGTTCAGGGGTGCTAATTACATAATTCATGGCCCCCTATTTTTCTAGTACTTCATATGGACCACTGTATTTGGATTTAAAAGGGTGATCATGTAAGGGCAGGAAGGCCAACACCTGCTCCCCCACTTGGAATTCTCTAGGTTTTGCCTGATGGGCCTTATCAAAATGCAGTTTCATTTTCACCTGAGCACACCTTAAGTTGGACTGGGCAAGTTCTACAGCCAGACGCAACTTCTCCTTGAATTGGACCACATATGAAGCTAAGGGCGTCGCGCTCTGATCACTCAACCAACACTCTTTTAACACCTTAAGAGGCCCTTGCCCCTCATGTCCATAGACGAGCTGGAAGGGCGAGAATCCTAGCGACTCTTGTTTACTGTCCCGAACAGCAAACAAAAGCAGGTCAACTCCCTCGTCCCAATCCTTCCCAGCCTCCAGACAGAAGGTGCGCAACATGAGTTTTAGTGTCTGGTGAAACCTCTCTACCACCCCCTGTGACTGAGGGTGATAGGCCGAAGACCTCAACTGCCGGACTCCCAGGGTTTGCATTACCTGACTAAACAACCGGGAAGTAAAATAGGAACCCTGATCTGACTGCACCACTGTAGGAAGGCCTACTTGAGTGAAGAAGTGGGTTAAGGCTTTGATAACATTCTTCGCTGTGATGTGGCGCAAGGGAATGGCTTCAGGATAACGGGTTGCACAATCAATAATGGTTAGCAAGAACTGATGACCACGAGGGGTCTTAGGTAAGGGACCGACACAACCTATGAACACCTTACTAAAGGGCTCTTCAATGACTGGGATAGGCTGCAGAGGGAATGGTTTGACACTTGGGTTCGGTTTCCTAGCTACCTGACAATCATGGCAAGTGCGACAGTAAGAGCTGACGTCTTTCTTCATCCTAGGCCAAAAGAACTGGGATCAAATTTTTGCATAGGTCTTTCTAACTCCTAAATGACCCCCACCGAAGACAAACCCCAAAGGATTCTACCAAATGTATCAAACTAAAACACGAGAAAAGATTGGACCAATACGGTCAGACACCGGCGAGCTCACTGATAACGACAGAGAAATGAGCAATAATTTGAATAAAAAATTTTCTACAGTTTTCACCACCGAAAATTTAACATGATACCCGGGGCACCGACTCTATTCAGAGATAGTGAAGAAAACAAATTTAGGGAGATAGTAGTGACTAGTAACGATGTTATTAAACAAATAGACAAACTAAAGCCTAATAAGTCACCGGGTCCCGATGAGATATTTGCCAGAGTATTAAAGGAATGTAAGGAAGAGCTTAGTATGCCCTTAGCAAAGTTGTTTAACATGTCCTTAAAACAGGTGTAGTACCAGAATTCTGGAGGATAGCGAATGCAATACCGATTTTCAAGAAAGGGGATAGATCACTATCCTCTAACAACCGCCCAATCAGTCTAACATCAATAGTAGGCAAATTACTGGAAGCAATCATTTCAAACTATTCGAAATCACCTGGACAAGCACCGATTGATCAAGGATTCCCAGCATGGCTTCACAAGTGGACGTTCATGTCTAACTAATCTATTAACATTCTTGTCATCAGTTTTTGAATCGGTGGACGAGGCGCACAATTATGATGTGGTATATCTCGACTTTAGCAAAGCCTTCGACAGAGTCCCCCACGAAAGACTAATTAGAAAGGTAGAAGCACATGGCATCAAAGGTAATATCCTTAAATGGATTAGGGCGTGGTTACAGGACAGGAAACAGCAAGTGAGCATTAATGGCACTAAGTCCCATTGGAGCAACG